ATTCTGATTGGGATTGCATTGAATCTGTAGATTGCTTTAGGTAGTATGGACATTTTCACTATGTTTATTCTTCCAATTCAAGTGCATGGAATATTTTTCCATTTCTTTATGTCATCATTGATTTCACTCAATAATGTCTTAAAGTTTTCATTGTATAGGTCTTTCACCTTCCTGGTTAAATTTATTCATAGATATTTTATTTTTTTTGTTGCAATTGTAAATGGGATTGTCTTCTTGAGTTCTCTTTCTGTTACTTTATTATTGGCATACAGAAATGCAACTGATTTCTGTAAGTTGATAGGTAAGATACCATTTTTCACCCATCAATTTGGCACACGTCAAGAACACTGAGTTTGTGAGGGTGCGGGGAACAGGCGTCTCATGGGTGGTGGGAGTGTGAATTGGAGAATTTTTAGCAGCAAAATTACAAATGTGCTATACCTGCCTTCGACCCAACAATTGTGGTCTCAAGCGTTTGTTGATGTATGAGAGTGAATATTCTTTGCAGTATCATGTACTGGCAACACCATAGACACAGCTCAATGGCCATCACGAGGGCACTGGTGCCGCCATTCAATGGAAAAGCACACGGCTGTTATAAGAAGGCATGAGGACGTCTCTATAATGGACTGATAATGGCAAGTCCCCAAGATGTAAGTATAGTGCAGAACGGGGTGTATTTCATGCTGCCATTTATAAAAAGGGAAAAAACCATGTTAGACATCGTTGAGTCTCTTTGGAAAGTAACACTGATTCCTGTGGGGAGAGGCAGGAGAGGAGGGAGGAGGATTTTTCACTTCTGTCTTTTTTTGCCTTTTGGATTTTGAACCATGTGAATGCGTTACCTTTTCACAACAAGAAATAAAATGTAAAACGCTTATACTCTCTGGTCTAGCGATTCTGGGGCTCGATCCTACAGCTACATTTGTGCCCATGAGCAAGGATGGATGTAGGAAGATAGTCACGGCACTGTTGCCGGGACTCGAAGCGGATGGAAACGGCCTGAATGTCGTCAGCAGGTGCCAGCTATGGCGGCCCATCGCACGAGTTCTGAGGCGAGTCTGTTTGTACTGATGGGTAAGAAAAGCAGAGTGCTAGTAGTGTCAAGAGCGTGCTGCCATTTGTTTAGTAAATACTTCCATGAATTTGCTTGTTTACTTGCATGGAATATTCTGGAAGAAAACCAAATCTAGCAATGAAGTTTGCTTCTAGGGAAGAAGAATAAGAACTGGGAAAGGGTGTGGGGGAGAACTTTATCCTTTGTGTGGCTGATCTTACCATGGTCTGCAATCATTCTCTCCATAAAAACAAAAGACAAAGCAAACCACTAGTTGAAGATAACAAATGTAAAATGAGGTCACGCCGCAGGTCTTAGCACAGTGGCTGGCACACAGGGAACCCGTCGGGCCCCTCCAGAAATAACGAGTTGCTGTTGTTGAATTCCCCAACTGCCTGGGAAAGCCCTGATGCTGGAGAACCTTCTGCAGGACGCCAAGGCCCCCGAGAGGCGTCAGGCCCACTCTCAGGAGCAGGAGCGCCACGTGAGAGGGGAGGAGGCCTGTGATGGGCCCTCATGAAGTGACGGCGGGACAAGGAAGTAGAGGGGCACAGGATGTCCCCTAAAGTGCTTCTCCTAAAGGCCTGGGCCTCAGTGGCGCCCTGGGGGCTTGTTTTCCTGAGAGAGTGAGGAGGTGAGGCCCAGGCTCGGGGACCTGGGGGTGAGAAGGCTCTCTCTGCCTCAGCCTCTCCCTGTGCATAGTAAGACTGCTGGCTACTGTCATGCCGGGCGCTGTGTGGGTGGGAGAGGGGCAAAATCATGGTAAGGTCCCTCCTACATCGCCTGAGGCCGGAGCTCGGCTTGAGTTAGGAGGGCGAACCCAGGATGTACGATGACAGTCCAAGGCCCTCTGTCCTACCAGGCCAGCCTTTCTCATCAGCCTTCCGTCCTCACCCAGGTGCTTGGTCCTGGGCCTAAAGTTACCCTCATCGCCCCACTGTGGACAACTATCCTACACTTCAACTCTTCAGCACTCAATGGTGGAGGGGTGAAAAGCAAGTTCTGGGAGGCACTGGATGGCTGAGCCGGCAGGTGGTGGGGGACCTGGCAGCACACTCACAGGGTGTTCGGGTGCGAGCTGGGCCCTCGGGGGGGCCAGGGGCAGCAGGTGACATGGCAGGCCAGGGTGAGAGAGTCTCTCTTACCAAGGGCTCAAACCCCTCTAGTCCACAGCCAGAGGGGACTCTGCTGCGTTTGTGCAGGGACCCCCAAGCCCGGGGACTTTCAGGTGAGGTGAGAAGTGGAGTTGTACAATCCAGGGCCTTGGTTGGCTCTAGATGCCGTGGTCCCCAGGGAAGCATGGCAATACCCCAGGGGTTAGAGGTGGGCCAGTGGAGGGCCAGGTGCCCCTGCCGATGCCCAGCAAGAGGAACAAGCCCTCTTCTTTCAGCCCCAGGCAGCTGGGAAGGCAGCAGTGTGTCAGAGGTGGGCGGGGTGCAGGGCGAGGCTGGGGCACCCAGGCTGCCCCTCCCACAGAAGCAGGCTGAAGGCCCACTGGCCAGAAGGCACCGAGAACCCACTGGCAGCTCTGCCACCAGAGCCCTGCCCAGGGTCTGGCTGCCCTCCCCTGGGAGCCAGACCAGTGCCAGGACTGGGGCCACATGGGGTGTCCTCGTTGGCAGCTGGGGCGGGCGCCAGCCACAGATGCAGGGTGGGGAAGAGCCTGCCCACACAAGCCTGGTCCTCAGCCCGCCTGCCCGCTCCCTCTCCCACAGCTGCCCCCAGTCAGAGGACCTCCTTGCCACTCTGGGGAACCTCCCCAAAGGCAGAGAGCTGAGGAAAACCAAAACGGAATGTCACCCTCCCGGCCAACATCAAAGGCGAGACGGCGTCGGCTGGGGTGGAGTTGGGATCAAGGGCGGGAGAGGTGCCAGGAAGACCAGCAGGCCTCAGAAGCCAGTCTTTAAAGACAGGGTAGAGAGAAGGGCGCTGTCCTCAGACCAGTAGGGGAGGGGCCCGGTACACATCTCGACCCTTTGACCCAGGACCCCACCCAGAAGAGCCTCAGGACCTGACACACTGGCCAGGGACACGCTTGATGTCATCATTTTTATTCACTTTCTCTTTTTGAAAATAAGTAAACATACAATATATATATAGATTCTCTATTTATATATATTAGATGTAGTTACTGCAGGGCTCAGAAAACCATCGTCAGCCACTCGAAGGCAGTTTTCAGTTCTGGTGGAGGGGGGAAAAAATTGCCCATGATTGCCAAAAGCAGAATCTTTCTTTATTATTAAACAGCAGTAACAGGAAAACCTAATGCTCTGTCAGACACAACTGAAACTTGGGAGGCCAGGAGGAGGGTAGCAGACACTGAGGAGAAACCCCAAAGAAACCCCAGACTGGAAGCACGCTGCTCACCAGCGTGCACCATCCCTCAGCCCTGTCTCTGCTCCAGGAGCCCAGGGGACACCAAGGAATGTATTATAGGCAGTGACTGTTCTCAGGGGCAAGGGGGAGTGCAAATGCCAAGGGAGTAGGAGCCCGGGCAGATGCTCTAGGAGGCTGTGGCCTGACTGGCATGACCACAGGGCCCCAGCCTGGGCGGATGTGGGGGTGGGGGTAGGGGCAGTGTGTGTGTGTGTGCAGGCCCCAGACCCTGACAGAGCAGCTCTCCTAGTACCCAGGGGACCCTCCATGCACACCAGGACAGCCTGGCAGGGCCCATCCCACATGAGTGGGTGGTGGGGAGGGCCTCTAACACAAACCCAAGAGAGACTGAGGGGCAGGAGGCTGCCCGGGCTGGGAGCCTGAGGAGGGAACCGTGCACTCGCCCTCAGGCACCGGGACAAGGAAGAGAACCCTGTTCAGCTTCTGCGGCCACTCTGGCTCTGTCTCCTTTGGTCCCCTCCTCACCTGACCCTAAATGTCAGCAGCAATGGAAGAAGGGAGTCCCCGAGCATGGGAGTACACTGAGATTTTACTCCAGGAGGGGTGCTGCCTTGCCCCGAGGACCCAGGCAGGCCCTGGAGTCAGGACCAGGGGGCCCCGTGGGTGGCCAGAGGCCTTGCCAGGCCCCTCCCAGAAGGAGGAGCTGCCACCTCCCAGGGGCTCCTCGGCAGGGCTGGCAGAAGGCTGGGGCAGGCGCTGGAAGGGCCTCAGTTCTTGAGGATGGTCTCGTAGGCCTGGTACACGTGCTGGGACACCTCTGGCGCTCGACACTTCAGGGACAGCTGCAGGGGCAGAGAGGGTCAGGGAAAGAGAGCGCTCATTCCTGGGGCTCCTCTTTGGGGCTGTCATTTACCAGGCTGGGAAGGAACACACGGGGAGGGAGAAGAGGGTGGGAACCAGATGGAGGAGCGTGGCGTGCTCACGTGGCCTGGGGGCAGTGGCGCGGCTGGAGCAGATGTGTGGTAAAGCAGAGGGGGTGGCCACTGTAGCCAGCAGGGTGTGGACAAATATACTTGCAGCCCACACACCTGCTGTCAGCCCAGCCACATGGCCCTACTGGCAAGCAGCGTGAATCATGAGCTGGAGACTGTCAGGGTGTGCCCGCCCCCCCCAGTGGAGGGCTGGGGTCCTCCGGACCCAAGCCTGATAGGAAACCCTGCGAAGGCTGGGAGGGAGATCTCTGCTCAGGGAGACAGTGGGGCGGCTGGGGGTTCTTCCTGGTTTCCTGCACTTTGCCTCAGCTCTAACTGTGGTATGAGCCTGGAGAGCACAGGCAGAGGAGACAAGTGCCACCACCCCTTCTGCCGAAATCTCTGCTTCTGAATGCTGCAATTAGGAAGGGGGAGAGGCAAATAGAGGTCTGGAAGTCAGCAGTGGTGGCCCCCCTGGGCCCCCAGTCTCCTCTGAAGGGCTCTGTCCATGCCGTGTGAGTTGGGAAGTGGGGGTACCGGCTCCTCAATCAGGGCCACCCAGTTGGGAAGCATCAAGGTGTCAGCAGAGGGCAGCCTGTCGTCCTGCCCGCAGCCTGCATGCATGTCTGCCTGGCTTTGGGGAGCCGCAGGGTGAGGCGAGGCCAGGATAGCCAGGGGTGCACTGGAGCCAGGCCAGGAGATGGGGTGTGCGAAGTATGGCTGGGGAGGATGGAGGGGAAAGAGGAAGAGAAATGCAATCTGCTAACCTCCAAGTCCTGCACCACAGGCACCAGCAGGGAAGGTGGACATGCAGCAACCGAACACAGGGAGACGGAAATTACCACCACCGAAGCCATGGCCGCAACCCCCACCCAACCATAGTGCCAGCACCGCCCGTCGGGCCCGGGAGCAGTGTCTGGAGGGCCATGCCTGCCAGAGACTTGGGTGCAGAGGCAGAAGCAAAGCCTGGGGCTCTCCGGGGGCCTGGGAGAGCAGCACGACCTCCAGGACAACCACGCTCCACGGAAGCCCTGTCTTGACTGGAGTCCAACTCAAAGGCCGAGAAGGATAAGCTGCTAGGAATCACCGTCCTCCCAGGCAGGCACTCGGGCAGGGAGGAGCGCCAGGGCCTGGGCCCAGCCGGCCACTTCCAGTCAGGCAGGCCTCCAGCCAACTGTGCCACCTCACAGGGCCCGATTTTACAGAACCTTCTAGTCCAACTCACTGTTCTGAGACTCAATTTGGTGTCTTATCCAGGTAAATTAACGGATTGAGTTGGAAGCTTTCTAAGGTCCCTTCCAGGAACAGAATTCTGATGCTCATTCACGCCAGCCTAGAAGGGACCCCAGCCTAGCTGGGCTGGAGTGTCCCCCATCAGAGCAGACCCCTGGCCTGGGGTGGGTGGGGTAGCAGAGGCTGCCCAGGACAGGGAGGTAGGGGTCCTAGGGCTGGTAGTGCAGGAGCTGGCGCCCTCACCGTGAAGCTGGGGTTGCCGGGCTGAATGCGCAGCTCCGCCAGCACCCAGATGCCGTTGGTCAGCTTCAGGGACTGGTAGAGCATGTCCTGGCCCTCCACGTTCCTCTTGGCGACCGTGAAGATGTTGCTGCTCTGCAGCCTGCTGCTCACGGCCTCTGGGGATCAGACGGCCATAGAAGGTCCCCCAGTCAGCAATGGGGAGGGCCTGGCGTACAGGCGAGGGCAGTGTGGACTGGGGGGAGGGGCTCAGGAGTCCTACCTGCATTGAGGGGGCATTCTCTGATCTGGAACTGGGCTTCATTCTCATTGGGAATGTCCTTCCACGTGGCCAGGAACATCTGCCGGTCTGGAGGTCGGGTGGGGTAGGAGACGGGACCCTGATAAACCTGTGGCCCTGCTCAACAACACTCAGCAGGAAATGGGTCTGGTGGGGGGGGTGCCAGCTTGAAGCTGAGGACAGGCACTAGCTCCACCACAGCCCCTCCTGGTTCCCTGAGTAGACTTGCAGCACCGTGAAGGTGGCCACCCGTGCCGTCCCTGCCTCCGGGCCTTAGCTCTTTCCTCCCCAGCACCCACACACGCCCTCCTCCTGCTCTGGGCCAGAGCAGCATGCTCATTAGTCATAGCCAGCGTTACAGGGCTTCTCTGGTGACCGAGAGATGATGTGGGCAAAGTGCACCACACAGCACCAGGCCGGGAGTGAGCCCTCCGGGCGCTGGGATGACAGTCTTCTCAGGGGTTCCATCCAGGGCACGGGAGATGGGCATCAGGTGTAAGCATGGCCTGGGGTCCCTGCCTCGGGGAGCCCATAGGATGAGTCTAGAGGCTGCGGGCAAGGCTGAGGGGTGAAGCAGGAGAACCTGAGTGAGACAGCTCCTACATGGCACAGCCCCGAGAGCTGGCCAGACAAGACCCTGCGGGCCCCAATGGAGGTGTGCCCCTTGCTCCAGGTTCTGCAGAGGAGCCAGCGACTCATGGACTCCAATGTGGGGCAAGCCAATCATCCGTTCCAGAGACCCCAGGGGCACCCTCATAACTCACCCATCTTCCCGTCCTCCACGAAGAGGATGTGCAGTGGGTACAAGGTGCTGAAGTAGAAGACATCAATGTTGTTCTTCACGGCCACCTAGAAACAAAGGGGTCCCCAGTCAGTCCCTGATGCTTGATACCACCTGAGGCCCCAGGAAGGGCCTGTTCCCTATGCTCCCCACCTGAGCAGGTTCTCTCACATGCCTTCTGTGGTACCCATGCCCCTCTGTCCGCCCTGATCAGGCCTCCCCTGCCACGTCTGTGACCAAGAGCACAACTGCACAGACACAACCCTTTGCCAACACAGGCCAGGCCCCAGACCTCTCCCTCAGGCCCCTCCCCTGGGGCTGGCAGGCGGGTAAGGACTGGGGTGCTTGGCCCTGCCCGGAACACACCTGGAGGTTGTTCAGAGGCTCCATCTTCATGACTGAGCCCACTGTGTTGAGAGGCAGGGAGATCTCCACAGTCTGGTTAGGGCTGAGCGGTGCATGGACCTGGAGGGGGGCGGCGGGGGCCAGCCCAAAGCTGGGGAGAGAGAAGCCCCCGCGGGGATGGCAGGGGAAACAGGTGCTGACATGGCACAGGTGGGCTCCTCGGGCTCCAGAGCTGGGCAGCAGTTGGCAAAAAGCCTCTCCAGCAAGCCAGCCCCACCGCAGGCCCATGCCAGAAGGACTAGCTCTTAACTAGCCCCCACCCAATGGCCATGTGGACAGGAGGAAAAGTCCTGGGCCAGCTGCAGGCCCAGCCTGTCTCTGCTCCTCTTTTTCCTCTGGGCTAGGCACTGGGCAGGCCCAGGAAGCATGGCCTTGCCCTGTCCTGCTCTCAAGGACTCCATCCAGGGGCCTATAAACTTCTTTTAACTTGAGAACTCGGTGACTGCCCAAGTTACTACTGCCAATCACCATCTCCTGGGAGGGACCTGACCATCACAAGCATGTGGGCAAATCAGGAGGATCCCCACATGCGTGTGAGACACCCCAGCCCCAGGCTCAGGGAAGATAAGTCCCCACAGTAATGACGGAGACTATGAACCGAGTGCTCACTGTGCCCGGGCTGGGTATTTGATATTATACTAACTCCTATCCTCATAAAAACAGCGACAGGGATACAGTCTCCCATCTTCCAGGACACAGAGACTCAGGGAAGGCAGGACCATGCCCAGACCCTTCGGGGTGAGAGTCACTGCTGAGATCCAGAGCTTGAGCTGCTTGACTCCAGCCTGTGCTCTGCCCACGATGGCAATCAGGCCTGCCTGGGACACAGCGGGAGGCAACATGGGGAACCCCAGGCCCTTGTGGTGGCCTAGCCCTTGGGATTTCCTGGGAGCTCCACCACTGCCTGCTGTGCAAGTGCCTTGCCCTCTCTGAGCTCAGGTGTCATTACCTAAAAGGAGGATAATGGTATTGACCTCCCTGGGCTGTCAGGTGGATCAAGTGAGACAATACTCCTAAAGCACATGGCACAGGCCTGGGACCCAAGAAGTTTTCAACACACACTAAGTTTGTTATGAACAATCATCAGGACCATCTCTTGGTGCCTGGAGTGTTTCTGTGGCCTCTAGGGTCATCTGAGAGTAAGCAGCAGAGCTTCCGCCACCTTTCCCGGTCTGACAGAGGGCTGGGACCCACTGGCCAGCAGGCTCTCCCTGAGGAAGCAGCCCCTTCAGTCAACTTCTTAGAGGCTCAGTTTGCTCATCACTAAAGCCGCTCAGGAAGAAGAATCATCAGGAGGGGCTGCCTAGGTTCCTCAGAGAGCCCTGGCCCGGCTGGCCTGGTCCAGGAAGACCCTGATGGTGCTAGATAGGAATCTTCCCCACTCACCCCCAGTGCAGGGGAGCTGGTGGGGGTGAGGAGCCTGGAGTGGCCACCACTCACAGAGGCCCTGCCTGATGGTTTAATCCTTGCCACATGGGGGAGGCTGGCAGGCAGGTCCACTCCTCATTGGCCTTCTTCGAGCTGGGCGCTGAGATGGGAGCAACTCAGGCCTGAAGAGGAGGTTCTAAGCTCCTGTTATGTGGGGTGCTTGCCAAAGGCAGGCTCATAGGCTGGAGCTGTGGATTTTTGTCAGTAAAACACCACTTTGGGCAGTGGAGAAAGGCAAAAATAAGGGGAGATGCCCCAACCCCTCTGCCTGGTAGTTTGGAGTCCACATAAGAGGTCACTGGGGGGAAAATCACTGCCTTAGAGAGTTTTGGCCTGAGGTGTGGTTGTGAGAAATATCCACCTTCACCAGAAAAGAGGCAGCGGGCCCCTGGCAGCCCTCAGCCCCTGCCTGCAGTCACCAGTGCGGGCTCTCAGCAGGCCGGCCTCGAGGAGCTCACCTGTTGCGGTTGAACTGGATGGCGAAGTCGGTCATGACCTGCAGGGCCTTGTTGGTCAGCTGCAGGTCCATGGAAATGGAGCCCACATGGCGGGTGAAGGTGCCTGAGATCTCCAACCCCTTGGCCTTCATGGCCGGGAGCCAGACCTGCAGGGAAGACGGTGGGGAGGGGGCTGGTGTTTTCTACTTCCCAAAAACTCAACAGCTTTCACTCTCTCTCTCATTCTCTCCTGAGGGGATCTCCCAGACTGACCACACCTGCCTTTACCACCAGGGGATGACCATGTGTATCTCAGGGTGAGAGCAATAATCCTGCAAAGCCCACCACCATGTGTGGCTGCATACTGGAACAGCCTGGGGTAGGGAGGCATTTGCTGTACCAAGGGCTGACCTGAGTCTTCAGAGGTCAAAGAAGGAACATTCAGGAAGTACGGTGAGGAAGGTAAGCCAGCCCTGCCAGCCTCCTGATGAGCCAAGAAGAGTCGAGAGGCCAGTGGCACCCTGGGCCTTGGCCAGAGCCTGAGGCCTCCCTGGCTGTCACAGCCTGTCCTCTCTCGCAGAAGGCAGGGCTGGCCTTTAATTGTAGAAACTGGTCACAGAAAAGACAGTACCTAAGAGGACCCCTTGCCTGGCAGGCTTTCTGCTGCTTCCTTGGCTGCCCATCATTTGAATCTCAGCTCAAGAACTGCCCCCTCCAGGAAGCCCGCCCCCAGGCTCCTTCTCTATGTTCCTGGACAATGACGTTTTAGCTGATATACGTGTGCCTACGTGTTTGTCTCCTCTGTGCCCAGCCAGCTCTTTAAGGGCAAGACTCTGCCTTTTTGTCTTCACATCCTTGGCTCGGAGCTTGGGGTGGAACTGGTATTCAGGGAGTGTTTGCTGAGTGAACAGCTTGAACTAGAGCCCTGCCCATGAAGGACATACTCGGGCAGCATCCTGTGGACATGCAAATGCCTCTCAGGCCGTTGTCGTCACTCAGACAGCTCATAGGCCCCCTGAGGTCAAAAGGCTCAGGCCCTGCTCCCTCAAGGCGCACTGTGTCAGTGAACGTCTCCCTGTCTCTCAAGGTGCCAACACCAGGAGCCACAGAGCCATCGGGGCACCAGCCCTGAGCCCACCCTGACCCCCACGCCCCAGTCATGCAGCCCAGGTCCTGTCAACACCACCTCCTCCATCTGCCAGCAGGCCCTCCTCTTCTCTCCTCTCCATAGGCACCACCTGCATCTGAGCTGCCACCAGAGTTCCCCAGCTAAGATGGCAGCTGCCCACGTGGCTGCCCCAACTCCTCCTCCCCAATTTCCACAGCCGCTAAAGTCATCTTTTAAAATGCAGATGTAGGGCCGGCCCCGTGGCTTAGCGGTTAAGTGCACGCGCTCTGCTAGCGGCGGCCCGGGTTCGGATCCCGGGCGCGCACCGACACACCGCTTCTCCCGCCATGCTGAGGCGGCGTCCCACATACAGCAACTAGAAGGATGTGCAGCCATGACATACGACTATCTACTGGGGCTTTGGGAGAAAAAAAAGGGAGGAGGATTGGCAATAGATGTTAGCTCAGAGCTGATCTTCCTCAGCAAAAAAAAACGGGAGGATTAGCATGGATGTTAGCTCAGGGCTGATCTTCCTAAAAAATAAAATAAAATAAAATGCAGACCTAATCATGGCACCCTTAAAAAACCCTCCAATCTTGCAAGGGCTTCCACTGCCCGGGGCCTCCACAGCCTGGTGCCCGCCCCTCCTGGGCTCGGACTGCACCTGTTCCTCCGGCCCTCACACTCGCTGTTCCCTCTCCTTGGAACATGCTTCCGCAGGCCCCTGCCCCCGAGTAGTTGCTAACCCTGATCATCCTTTGCTTCCCCTGGACAAACTTGTGAGGGCAGACTGGCATGGCTTTAGTTCTCAGCTGTGACTTGGCATGCAGACAGCACTCGGAGGGCGCCTGCCCGGTGACTTCCCTGAGCCCTGCCCCTCCATCAGGCCTTCTCTCATGCATTCTTGCAGGACTGCCTCTTTCTGTCACCATGCCTGACTGCTGAGGGAGGGGACCTTGTCTCTCTTGGTCACTGTGGCTTCATGGAATCAAGCACAGAACTAACCCTCAACATTTACTGGAGGAACCAATGGACTGTCAGCCCCCCTGGTCCAAATGCTTGAGGAACTCCAAATTCTTGTACACAGAGAGCCTCATCCCCCATGCCCAGGAAGGTTGGACAATGTATTTACCCCACAGGCAGGGCAGGGAAATGCACGAGTGACAAAAATTCTAGGTAGTCACAGCACTGTTAGGAAAGTGTAGATGACATAACTACTGCTTCTGAAGGGAGAGCATACCCACAACCCGGAACCTCCTGTGACTAAGGTAGTGGGGAAAGTCCTGCCCATGTTGCAAGGACTCCTCCTCCAGGCAGCCTGCCCAGATTCCTCCTGACCTGGTGATCCCTCACCTCTCATTTCTAGCACTCGCTGTTGGTACATTCATCTGGCCCTCCACTATGACAAAGCAGCAATAACATCTGTTAAAATGAACACACAAGCAGAGGGCCAGCTCCAGGCTTTATATTTCTGGCAGCTCTGCAGTGCCTGGTAAGGGCTGGCACCCACAGGGTTGCAGGAGTCTTTGCTGCTCTTCTGTCACTCGGTCCTGCCTTATGCCTGTCATATTGGGCTTTTAATGTGTATGAGTTGGCCTCATGCATCAGCATAGCCGATCTATGTAATAATTAGTCAACTAAACATTTTTTTACATCATACCACGTATCTGAGTGTGTGTTCTCTTCAGTCCTACTGATTCTGACAACCCATGACATTAAGGCAGGCACAGAGGAGGTTCTCGACTACTTTGGGATATGATCAGGTAGGAGTTGGGAACAGAAACTTTGGTGCCATCGCCTTACATTCAGTTTCAGACTCTGTCATTTATCAGCTATGTGACCTTAGGCAACAGCACTCAGATTTCTCAACCACAAAATGGGAGGAACAGCACCACAAGGCTGTTGGAGGATTTAGTGGGACGGAGGCTGAGCCACGCTCATGCAGTCCCTGGCACGGCAGTGTGCAGCTGCTAGCACTAAACTTGCTGTCTGTTGTGGGCCCCTTGGGTCTACAGCTCCCTAGTCATGACAGATGTCACTGTGCCCCTGAAGCCCAGCTACATCCTGCTCTGGGGAAGGGGCCATGGGAGAGAGAGAGGGGCTCTGGCTGGGAACAAAGTGGCAGACATGGTGTCCGACCTGAGAGTTGTGAGGGAAATTCAGCCAGGTCCATCCCCTCTGATAGCTTCCTTGATGCTGAGAGCACAGCCCACACCGTGCTCTCCTTACAGCCAGACCCACGTGTCTTGCAGGCACCCGACTCTGCTCTCCATCCACTGCCCCGCCCTCATCTCAGCAAATGGCACCTCCCCTCACCCCATTGCTGGAGCCAGAATCCACCCCTCCCTCCCCGTCAGCCCCCACATCCTGCCTTTCCTATCTCCCAGGGAGCTCTTCAGTCCAGCCTCTTGCCTCCACCCCGACAGGTGCGTTCCTTGTCCAGGCTGCCATCAGCACGCATCAACTCCTGCCAGTCTCCTCACCGGGCTCCTTGCTTCTGCTCTTTTCCTTCCAGTCCGTCCTCCACACTGTAGCCAGAGCCACCTCCCTCAAGTGCAAATCCATTTAATCTCTGTTTAAAACTTTCCAACAGCTCCCACTGCGCCAAGATCAGGAGCAACCCCTCACAGCCTGGTGCTGCTGACCTCACCAGCTTCCTCCCTCCCTAATTTCTAGTCTAGCCAGGAGTCTTGGGGGGTGCTGCTCACAGGTAGCACAGTGGCATTTATGGGGCATCTTCAGGTGGCACAATGCAGGGGAGGCATTACATTTAGTGGGCCAGGGTCAGGGATGTCGGACATGCTGCCAGGGGGGCAACAGTCCACACAATGAGGAACCGTCCTGCATCCCTCGAGTACGTTCTGCATAGTTTCAACATACCCTGAAACTGCCAGGAACTTAACTACGGTGAAAATCAAGGGAAGCCTGTTCTTTGTTTCGTTGGAACTTTACTGAAAGTCGGTCACCATTTCAGAAACAAACAGCACCACTGGCCACTCTACCTATAGCACCCAAGCTACAAACACTATCTGTAGCTGTGGCTGTCATGGTGACTCTGCACTGCTGCCAACACCTGACAACCTCAGCAGGTCTTCTGAGGCAGGCGTGCCCAAGCCTTCACAATATTGAGAAAGAGATATATATATATATATTTTTTTTTTGGTGAGGAAGATTGGCTCTGAGCTAACACCTGTGCCAATCTTCCTGTATTTTGTATGTGGGACACTGCCACAGCATGGCTTGAGGAGCAGTGTGTAGGTCCGCACCCGGGATCTGAACCCACAAACCCCAGGCCACTGAAGTGGAACGTGCGAACTTAATCACTACGCCACCAGGCTGGCCCCTGAAATACATAATTTTATTCTATTCCTTTTATGTCTCCTTTTTGCAGCATGAGCATCTTACTGATTGATTTTGAAATTACATGTGTAGGTAGGTTGCACAGTCCACAAATCTCACTTAAAGATAGGAAAAGATGGGCATTATAAGATGTCTATTATCAATAAGGGGCACTGGGTCGGGCAGCACTGAGAACCACTGCTCCAACTAGATGGGAATTCTGCCAGCTCCCTGGAAGGTGCAGCCTCTCCCTCACCTCCAGGCCTTTCTACAGGCTGTCACCTCCAGCTGGAGAGCTCTATCCACTTTTGCCTGGCTAATTCTGACTTGATCTGAAGGCGTGAGCTGCTCTCACGGCCCCCAGCTGCCCTCGGCATCACACTGGCAAACTGCTGTTCCTGGAGCCTTTCTATGCTGGCCTGAGCTGATTCCACGGAACTGGCCATTTAAGGAGCCCACATGTCAGTCTCTAACTTCTTTCTGCTCCTGCCATGAGAGGAGGCGTGCTACTTACTGCTTTGGGGGCCACATATGATCCTGACAGGGTGCCTACACCACTGGTCAGGTCAAAGAGGTCACTCAGGCCACTGCCCATGGGTGCTCCTAGGTTGGCTGGTACTGCTGCTGCTGGGGGTGCCACAAAGTTGGGGCCCCCGATCTGGAAAGGAAGAGAAAGGGGTCAGAGGCAGGCATCAGAGGCAGGGACATCAAGGGCTCGGGATGAGTAGAGCCACCTCTCTCTTTAGGAAACAGGGGGCGGGGCAGGAGGGGTACTGCAGGGCTGTCGTCACATCAACTCTAAGTTGCAGAAACAAGACAGAGAGGTGGTTGGAGAAGAGAGGCAGTACCCTCCTGTGCCCAACAGCCTCAAGCCTTAGGGGTGACCTCTGGGAAAGGGCTGGGGACACTCGCAAAGTAATACGCAGCCCATGAATAAAAGGGGTACCCGAGACACACTGCTGTGAGGGGGCTGTGCTAAGCAGAGGGAAACACGTCCTCCAGGATGCCAGAGAGGAGCCGTGGGGACTGAGAGGGCCAGCAATCTTCAGGATGACAAGGCAACTTAGTCATAGGGTGGTGAGGACAGGGCGAGAAAATCATGGATATGGGGGCCCACTGGCAGCTGGACACCAGGAGGTCAAAGCAGAGGCTGCCAGGACACTGGACAGAAGGCCATGGCTCAGCAGGGAGGGACTGCTTTGACACCATCTGACCCTTGGGATGCTGGACCAATGCTCTCAGGAGGAGCAGGGACGAAGGCTTGGTGACACAAGGGTTGAACCATACCCCTTCAGGCTCATCCCCCATCTCCAAGCAGAAGCAGGCAGAGTGAAGAGAACAGGCAGCCACATGCACAGAGAAAAGCCAGGAAAGAAGACACAGAGAAAGACAAGACAGAGAGGAAAAGAAGGAAAACATTAGTCACTGCTGCTCCATCCAAGATGAGTCTCATGTGAGGATGTGCCAGTCCTAGGAGGGGCCCAGACCGTCTCTATGAAGGGCACTACCCCACGGCCTCACTCCCCGACCCACATCCTGTGCCACGGCCCTTTCTACCTTTTCCTGTGCCAAAGCCTTGGGGACCTGAGCCAGGCACGGCCAAGTGACAGGGCTCTGCTGCCCCCTTCACCTGGCTCTACCAGCTGCCTAAAGAAGTCCCAGGGAGATGCCTAGGCCAGTCTTACCACCCTCTTTCTACAGGGGAGAAGAGACTGTCCCTGAACTCTCGTGGGCGTGTCTCAGGCCTGCTGGGCTGTAGCCCCAGCTGGCACACGGCATGGGGGTAAGTGGACACAGGTGTGGCTCCTCCAGTCTTACAGGGCCAAGGCGCTTGCAGGGCCAGACTTGGGGGAAGGGGCTAGGACCAGCCTTACATTGCCCCAGGTCTCTTGGGGCTTGGTGGCCTGGCAAGGGGCTAACTCCTGTGCCTGCCACTTAGCAACTATGCACTCTGGGAGGGAAGGTCATCTGACCTCTTTGAGCCTCAGTTTTCTCATCTATAAGTAGGAAGCTACCCGATCACCTTTGCAGGCAGGCACCTTTGCACCTAAGGCCTTTGGCTGGTGCCTGGCACAGAGAGGGCATTCAGTGTCATCCAGAGGGGACCCCAAGACATACCAGGCTGTCGAGGCCACCGCCAAGAAGGTCCACAGCTCCCATTTGCACCGAGGAGGTGGCCAGGGGTGGGCCGCTCACTGGGGGGCCGAGGTCCAGGTTGAGGAGGTCGCCCAGCAGGTCACCCTGGGTGGGGATGACATCCGGCTGCTCATTGGAGGCGGCTCCGGCAGGGGCCGTCTCAGGGCTCTCCACGCTCTCATTCCTGTGAGGACACAGGAGGGAGGTCAGCCGGGTAGGGGGTCCGGCTGTCTCAGGGAGGTCAGAGTCCCCAGTCTCCAGGATCCCCACCCAGAACAGGCGCCTGGGTCTCTTCACTGTCCCAGAAGGAGCTGTCTAAATGCCCCCTCTTCCTCCCCCTTCCCATGCCTGATCCATTTTTTCAGCTCTCCAAGAGATCCAGCTTCGTGGGGATGAGTGAAGGGAGGGGCCGTCTGTATTTCCACCACTCAGCCTACTCTAAAGAGAAGACTGGATGCTGGTCCCCAGAGGACTGGGCAACCAGGCCAAATCAACCACCTGGGAGCGGCAGAGGAGGAAGGTGAGAAGAATGAGGCTCTGGAATCAGACAGAATCGGGTCTGAGCCCAGTTCTGCTGGCTGTAGAATGCTGCACCAGGCACTCAAGCTCTCTATGCCTATCGCCCTCGTCTGTTAATGGGGCCATCTCTCAGAGCTGTTGTAAGCATCAAATGAGGTCACCTAGTCCACACCTGGTGTGTAGTAAGCATTCAATAAAAGCTTACTAGAATGGTAATTTTCCTCAGACTTGGGCTTTGTCAGAGGATACCACACTGGGCCTGAGTGTCTGTGCTCCTGAACTGAGGAACCAGGTGGGGAGGCTCAGCCCGGCGACTGGCCTACTTCACTCACGAGGCGGTGCGGGGCGGCAGGCTCTTGTGCACCACGCCTCGGCCCCCCTCCACAAAGGTGCTGGGCGGCTTGTGGTAGACGGAGGCCAGCGTGCCGATGTAGCAGATGAGCTCATCCAGCAGCGTGGGCTCGATGAGGTCCGTCTCTTCAGAGATGAGTGGCTTCTCGGCCAACACCACCTCCTTGGCAGCCACTGGGTCCGTGGAGAGCAGGCGCCAGTAGATGTAGCCGCGGTCCCGTAGGTCTGGGTTATCTGAGTCCTTGGGGAGGTGACGAGAAGCCCATGAAACTCAGAGCAGGGCAACCGGGTGAGGAGAAAAGAAGGGCCCCTCCAGCAACCCCATGATGCAGGCGTGATCACAGGGCCAGGTGATGACAGCAATCCTGAGTGTTCCCGTGAGCCTGTCCCTAAACCACGTAAACGGATATGGCCCAGTCCCCTGGTTTTCCACTCTACCCTGGCCTCAAGCAGGCTCCAGGCCCCTCCACGGTCTGCCCTCCCTGCCCTCACACAAACCTTCCGGCTCTCCTGGACTTCCCTCAGACCTCCCTCTCCTCTCTCGATTATGGTCTGTCTCAACTTCACCACCTGATCCCACTCCATCTTGATTTATTTGTGACTGAGCTCCCTGAGCAGGGATGATGGATTACTCTGGGGCCAAACCACCAACGGTGCCAGTCTCAGGGGCAGGACCTTGGAACAAAGGCTAGCTCCTTGGACCGAAGCACCCCCTGTGGAGCGAGAGCTGTGCTGGGCACAGCGCTGAGGCTGCGGCACCCACCTGAGTGGCCAAACTGAGGACCTGCTGCACCAGCTCCTGGGTCTCTGTTGGCTTCTTCAGAAAGAGTTTCACGATGGCTGTCAGCAGCTGCAGCTGGACCTGCAGGAAGTCAGAGAGGAGATGAAGAAGTATGGGCTTCATGTAAGGATAGCAGGAAACCAAATCAGGGCATTGAAGAGAGAAAAGTGTGTTCAAAAGCCCTGGAAGCTGAGAACAGCTCTCGTAGGTTTGGGGCTGGCCACGGAACACAGACTAAGGCCAGCAGGGGGTGTTGGCAGTGCTGAGTAGCCTAGACCTTGGCATTACTGCTCAGGAGGGAGGTGGCCACTGTACTGCTTGGCAAACCCAGGCAGGCTGGGGGCTGCTGCCCAGCCCCAGAAACCTGTCAGGGCTCTGGCCTCACAGTGCCTTAAGGAGCTCTCAACTTAAAAAGGCAACACGTATGGCTGGTATGCTTCTTAACAGGAACACCTGTCAACAAGCAGAAATGGTGCCAGGGAGGCCCAGGGGACTGGGCCAGCCTGTCGTCGAGGAACTGTGCTTCTACTAGAGGGCAGGAACCATTCTTGCCCAGCCCTCTATCAGCCCCCACCTCTTAGCCAGCTGCTGCCCTCACCCCTCACTCTGCCTCTGCAGCCTCCTGCACCCCTCCTCATCAGTGCCATCCCACAGTACTGGAAATGCTTTCCAGCCACCAGGCTATCCTGGAGAGTGCCCTTTGAGGGCAGGGATCGTGTCTGTCCTTGTCGTAGCCCTGGTTACTGATCAATCTAGTTTCCAGTGCATAGCAGGCACCTAAGAAAAACTTGCTGACTGAAAAAACATCTCTGAAAGAACAGTTCTCTGCACATAGCTCTTCCTTAGCCACATCTCATTTTTGCCAGCCCTGGGACCAGAGGGCAGCCTGAAGCTCCTGAGCCAGGGCTGTACCAGAGACAGGCCTGTGGCAGGAGGGCGGGAATGGGGCTGGCAGGAGGGCACTTATGGAAACAAATGGCTTAATGGTACACAGGTGGGCTGACAGGGGGAGGCAGAATGGAGGGGATTCAGTCTGTTTCTGAGATTAAGAGATCCAAAGTCCTTGCAATTTGGTTATACATAGGCCAATGGCAGAAGAGCAGTGGGCTGGCTGTTTCCAAGGCAGAAGGCAGCCCAGACCTGGCCCCAGCTCCTGGATGGGTAGTCTAGAGAAAGCAATTTACCCTCAGCTGGTGAGGGAGACCTGTGGCCTACGTCAGGGAGTTCTTGTGAGCTTTGAAAACAGCAATTTATGGCAGCTTACTTGGAGCCAGAGTTAGATCACACCTCATTTGCACTCTGGTTCTATCACCTCCCAGCTGGTGACCCTGGACAAGTCATTTAACTTCTGAGTCTGGGCCAGCCCCGTGGCTTGGCGGTTAAGTGCGTGCGTTCCGCTGCCCGCGGCCCGGGTTTGGATCCCGGGCGCGCACCGACGCACCGCTTCTCTGGCCATGCTGGGGCCGCGTCCCACATACAGCAGCTAGAGGGATGTGCAGCTGTGACATGCGGCTATCTACTGGGGCTTTGGGGGGAAAAATAAATAAATAAATAAAAAATCTTTAACTTCTGAGTCTGTTTCCTCATCTATAAAATGGGTATAACACCTCACCAGGTTAATGGGAAGAGTCACTAAGCAACAAACGTAAAGAACCTAGTGTGTATTCTGCTCAATACACAACAGCTGTCGTATCGTCATCAATATCATCATGGCCACCACACAGGGACTCTTTACCAGGTTCTCCCTAACCCAGGTCAGCTGGCTGCCTGGAATCATTCATCACTGTCAGATCTACTGTGCTGCCTGGGAGCAGGGTTCTGGCTCAGTTTCCTACCCAGCTCCTCCTACCGCCCCCTCCCCCTATATGCCCTGTTAGCCAGCATGTTCAAGGCAGCCCTCCTGCAATGATGCCAATGCCCCTGCCATCCAGACAGGGCCCAGAAGCAGGCTGGGCTGACAGACCACCTTGGCAAAGTCTTTCTGAGCTCCCTGTCCACGGGTGGAGAGGCCTAGGAGCCTAGGACAAGGGGGCTCAAAGAGACAATCTAAAATAAGTTCCCCAACTGCAAAGCACGAAATATTCTTATAAAAGCTCTGAACTGTGCTGTGAACCCAGGAGGCAAAGGAAGCAGGCCACTTAATTAAAACACCACCATGACCCAGCTACTGTTTGCTGAGCACTGGAGTGGGCAGTTGGACACATCATCCAATAAGCTTTGCAGGAACCCTGTGCTGGAGACAAGGAAACGGGCTTAGCAAATTTAATGCACTCAACAGCCCCACAACAGGGGAGGAGCCTGGACTGGAAAGCCCTGCTCCATGTCCTCACACCAGGCTCCTACTCAGCTTTCCCTTGTCTGACTTCTCTAATCTCGGCTCTTGAGCAGGTTTAGCCGAGGAGGAAGAGGCTGCAAAAGATTTACTCTAATATGTGGGCAGAAACACCCCCCACAGGACATCCTCTGCAGTAATCTGGGCGGGACTTGACTGCAGGGGCATAAACCAGGCTGGGCTTTGCTCCTCAGAGACAAGAAAGAGGGAGAAGCTGGTGTGATGAGAGTGAAGGCAGCATCAAGGCAGGCTGGCGGCTGGACCTGGCAGGTGGCAGTGGGAGTGAGTGACAGCGGGAGTTATACTACTATTTTGTGATGGACATCTGTTGTTTTTGTCCACCCAGCATCTATTCTCTCTTCTGCTAACAGAAACGCTGGCTTTCCTTCAGAGAATCGCCATTCTCTCTGCCCCATTCAATCCATGGAGACCAGGATGGGCGTCTGACAGACCTGGCCAGTTGGAATCACAGTGACTGGCTCAGGATAACGCCAATAAGCCTGGACTGGTGCTGGCACTACTGAGGGGGAGGTAGTTACGGGAGTCACTAAGCTGTAAGGACGTAGCCTGGAACCACTAACCCCTCGTAAGCCCCATTTGTGGGAGCCTGCTGAAGGGAGAAGCCACCCCAGAGAGGCAGAGACAGCTCAGATGCCACCATCTGAGCACCCTCACCCAGGGTGCTGGAAGGGAGCATGCTCCTTAGATTTGCCAGCTACAGGAACCAGCTGGTCCCCTTTTTCGCCTGGACAAGTTTGCTTTAAACCAATTCTGACTAACATCAATACTGCTACTAATGAGAGCTTATTATGGGCTGGGCACGTCTTAAGGACATTATACAAAGTATCCCATTAACCTTCACAGCAACAGGCTCAGGGCAAGTCTTATGACCCTCATTTTGTAAATGAGGAAACTGACGCTCAGAGAGGTAAAGGATTAGCATAAAGCCACCGAGCCAGGAAGGGGCAGAAGAGCGGTTTGGACTTTGAGGTCTCTGATTCCAAGGCCCATGCTCTGACTCACTGGGTTACACTGCCCCAGCTGGGTAGCTAAGATTTCTGTGCTTACAAACAGATGTTTTAAAGGCCCCTGTGCATGAGCAGAGAGTTCTCAGTTCACAGAAAAGGGATACAAACAAAAAGATGCTCAACCGCACTCAGAACGGAAATGCAAACAAAACTATACCAAGGTACCCCTTGTTACCGATCAGATTGGCAAAAGTAAAGTCTGAGGATGCACTAGGTTCGTAAGGAGGTAAAGAGAGGGCTATCTCACCTCTCAGACAGAAGTGTAAACCAGAACAGTCTCTACACTGAGGGAAATCTGGCAATAGCTACCCAAATCTCCAATGCACAGGCCCTTTTACCAAGCATTCTGCTTCTAAGAATTTCTCCCCCAGCTATACTTGCAGGTGTGCCATACACAGGTTATTCATAGCAGTATTGATTGAAAGAGTTCCAGAAGACTGACACCTACGTACCCATCAGGGGAGGCTGGTTAAATAAACATGGTCCCTCTGTATGAAGGACTCCTATGCAGCCGTAAAAGGTTCTCATAAATTAATAACAGCATGGCCTTCAGATATATTTTTAAAGGAAAAAGGCATGGGACTGAACAATTTGAATTTGTATAGTGTGCTACCAGTTGTATTAAAAAATAAATCAGAGGGAAATACATATATAGTTGATCTTCATTATTCACAGAGTACATATTTGAAATTTGCCTACTTGCTAAAATTTACTTGTAACCCTGAAATCAATGCTCATGGAGCTTTCATGGTCATTCACAGACATGTGGAGCAGTGAGAAATTTGAGTTGCCTGATGTACACAATCCCAGCTGGGGTCAAATGAGGTGACGCCCTGCCTTTTTGTTTCAGCTCTCGTACTGTAAACAAGTGTCGTCTTCACAGTCTACTTAGTGCCACGTCTTTCACATTTTGGTGCTTTTTGTTGGTGATTTTGCTGTTTAAAATGGCCCCCAAGTGCAGTGCTGAAGTGATGTTTAGTGTTTCAAAGCACAAGAAGGCTGTGATGTATCTTATGGAGAAAAGACATGTGTTAGATAAGCTTCGTTTAGGCATGAGTGCTGTTGGCCATGAGTTCGATGTTAGTTAATCAACAATGTATATTAGATAAGGTGTCTTTAAACAGAGACACACATAAAACAACATTCTTATTGACCAGTTGATTAAAATGTTGTGACCAGAGGCTCACAGGAACCCAACTCTGTATTTCTCTTACCAGCAATGGTTCAGTACTCACTAATTCAGTGTTGGTGGTGACTTTTTTTTTGGTGAAGATGGCCCTGAGCTAACATCTGTGCCCATCTTCCTCTATTTTATATGTGGGACGCCTCCACAGCATGGCTTGATGAGGGGTGTAGGTCTGGGCCTGGGATCTGAACCCGCAAACCTGGGCCACCGAAGTGGAGTGAGCTGAACTTAACTACTATGGCACCGGGCCGGGGGCCCCTGTGGTGACTTTATAGAACATAAGTACCATGAATAATGAGAATTGACTGTATGTGTGTACGTTTACATGTATGGACAGGTGTGTGTATACCTGCTGCTGTACCGGTATTCCTAAACTCTCTCTGGAAGTCTCCTCCAGAAACCAACAAATAACACTTGGTGTTCTCTGGGAGAAGAGGAGGTAGCTAGGAAAGTGGTGGGAAAGGCAATTTTCACTATATATCCTTTTCTATCTTTTCAATTTTGAACCAAGTCAATACATCACCTATCCAAAGATAAATATGAAATGAAAACAAAACCAGAAACTTTTGCCTGCCTTCAATGCACACCATCACAGACTGTCCTCACACGTCCCACTTAGGTACTGCAGTGTGGAAGGAAAAGGGGCTACACCTGTCACCTATACATCACATATCTATCTGTCCAAACTGTCAATGCAATATTAGGAGGGGCGGGGCCCTGAGGCCTGCTGCTGAGGGAGAGTTTCAGGGCAGGATGGACTGCAGTGGTGCCCAGCTGCCAGTCATGACCCACAACCTGTCCTGAGTCGGCTCGCCCGACAGCTCACCTGGGTGCTCTCGTCATGGAAGCCCTCAAGGAAGCTCTCCAGCAGCTCGTCCGCATTGTCTATCCGCTCGGCATACTCGCCCACGATCCAGATCATGGCAGCCCGGGCCTCGGGCTCATCCAGGGAGTCTAGGTTCTCGCACAGTGTGGCGATCACGCTCTCGTACCTGGAGACCAGGGCACAGCCAGCACATGAGCACTGAAGGAGCCCAGGGGAGGCTCAGCAGGGGCCAAAAGAGACAGGCAGCTGCTAGCAAGACCCGGAGACAGTGGTGAGTAATGGGATTTGAGTTTTTTTTTTTTAAAGATTTTT